TCTGGTGGAACCGACCTTGGAATCTCTTCACCCAACACTTTCACTCGAAATGGAAGTAAGCTCAACAATTCAACCACCATTGCTTCATCACTTTACACGAAATTAAGTGACCACATCTCATCAATCTGACAAACTGGTGCCTCTTGAAGACCCACTTTGAAACGACAAACAAAAATCCACACCATCTTGGTCTCAGCTTTCTCTCGTGTGCCAAAGTTGCTCTACGATTTAAGAGAAACTGATGCATTTTGGTGCATCATGAAGCTGATGAAAGAAGTGCAAAACCCCTGGGATCTGTCTTGGATGAAGCTCCATCTGGAGCACACCAAGAATCCTTCATATGAAGTGGAGAGCCAAGTAGAATAAATCATATTTGTCGGTCGTAATCGTCATTTGTCAAATGCCTCAACTTCCTCGGTATCTGCTACTTTGTCATTCCAACAGTTGTCTTCATTAGCAGCATGCACATTACATAGCTGGACTAATAAAGGTACCATTCGTAGCACGTTCACAAATGTCTCGGTTGTGTCAAGTCATCTGAGCCTGAAAGCACAAGTAAAACAAGTGGTATCTGCATACATGGGCGCAAGTGTGCATGCACACACACAAACACACACATACACACACATACACACATACACAGTATGAACAAGCCGAATGTAGGCCCATCTAAAGTCGGTCGACCCGGAGAAAGTGACCGTCTTATCCGGTAGCCTTACTCAGGTGTGGGTATGAGGCGATTGTGGGTTATGACAATAGTTTCTCCCTGACCTGAGGTCATTGGGGCAATTACTGGTCGGGTCGGGGATGCCAAGACGTATGAAAACGCGTCTTAGCTGTGCTGACGACCGAGTCGAGGGCAGTCGTGGATCTGAGGATTTTCATTGCCTTTTTAGACCGTTCTCCCCACGTCCAACCAAAACACATACAACCACGGCTGTATGTACCAACTGTGATTACGCCACCGTCCGGTCCTGCTGTTGTGATTGGGTCGCACATTCATGCAGGTGTAGGCATTTGGTACCGTTTGCCTCATTAACCGACACCTCCCCACTTCC